TGTGTGTGTGTGTGTGTGTGTGTGTGTGTGTGTGTGTGTGTGTGTGTGTGTTATATGTATATATATATATATGCGCGCGCGCACGCGTGCGCGCACACACACACACACACCACACACACACATTAAAAATCTAATACATATTTAACATTGCATATTTAATAATAATATAATAATACATGTCAAAGCCATTGTCAAAAAAGATTTTCATTTAGATTTCATTTTTCTGTAAATTTTTTAATGAGAAATTTTTGCTGCTTTCGAGACTTTTAAAGAATTGAACTTTTACGATCATTTTAAATTTCAGCTTTCAAACATCAGAAACATATTTGGCTAAATTTTAAACATTGTTTTTAGATAAATGTTATGGAATTAATAAAAGTGTTATTATATGGAACTCTAATATTTAACTATGTCACGGCTTTTCTTAATTATGCTCATAAAGACGTAGAATATCTAAATGATGAAACTGTAGATAATTCTCGTTTGCATGAATATGTACCAGAAATACAGTACAGCGTTGAAATAACATTAGATGCAGAAGAAAATATTTTTCATGGAAAATGTAATCACAGAATTATTATTCCTCAAAATACAGAAAACATAAAATTTCATGCAATGAACTTTAATATAACTGATATAAACTTAATGGAAATTAACACAAAACGCAAAATGGTAATACGTAAGATTTCATATATTAATAAATTACAAATTGTTATTTTAAACTTCAACTTTCTACAAGCTGGTAAATATATAATGACCATAACATATGATGGTATCATAACATATAGTGGTACTACCACTAATGATGATGGAGGCTTTGTTAAAATCCCATATAAAAATACGGAAGGATATGACAAGTGAGTATACAGAGAGACTTATTATAAACATCATTTATAAAATGTTCAAAGTAAATTGATTAAGTATGTTTTTTAACTATTTGAAGTTAATAATGCATATCTTACATAACCTTATGTAACAAGAATATGTTAAATGCATAAGAATTAGGAAGTAGCGTTAGTACTTATTTGGATGAACTTTAATATTAGATCGTATTCAGGAATATTTGCTTAAATAATATAAATACGCTGCTAAAATTATAAAAATTGTGATTCCCAGCTTTCATGTTACAATAATTTTCATTATTTATATGATCTATAAATTATCTATTATTATTTATATGATCTATTATTTATATGATCTATAAATTAAAACTTTGTTGTTAACTATGTTATTTTTATTAATAATTTAAATATATTAGGTGGCTTATTGCAACAGACAACTCGGCTACTGGAACGCGACGTTTATTTCCATGCTGGGACGAGCCAAGAATAAAAGCAGACTTTACCATTACTATTGAGCATCCCAAACATTACCGTTCTTTTTCGAATATGTCACCCTTCTTTAAACTCTTCTTTGAAACTAAAACGACAACATATTTTAGCAATATTCTTCAGATTCCTACTTATTGTATTGCGATTGTGCTACTCGATAAGAATGACTATTCAAATATTACTTCCGAAAAAATTGATCTCAAATTATGGGGCAGAGAACCAATAATACAAAATCAAACTTTTGCATTTGAACTAATTGAAAATGTCACAAATATCATTAACCACACATGGAAATTACAAGAAAAAACATAATAGGAGATCACTATGTGATCGCGGGTTTAGAAAATAATGGCGTGGATAAATTTCAATTTGTATTTCATAGGTAATATATGTAATTAAGAAAATAAATTTCTTATACTTTAATAATAAAATAATTACAAAAA